ATTTTTTATTTTTAATATAAAGTCTCAAATTCAATTGATGCGAATGAAAAAATAAATTTAAAATTTTGTAGATAAATTCTGTCTTGGGGTCCAAAGCAACAAACTTAGATTCACAAGTAAGTCGCAGCAAATTATTTCCACACAGTGCTGCATGAACCATAACAAAAAGTATTTTGTATATTTTAATATATTAAAAGTACATTATTGTGTACTGAATGTACATTATATAAAATAATATATTTTCAGTACTCAAATAATGTACTTTCCTTGAATATAATGTACATTTTAAATACACTAAAAGTAAATTATTTGTGTACTGAATGTACATTATTTAATAATTTGGTCCACACAATAATAACTGGTAAGCCGCTCTTTGTGATTACCAAACTAACAGTCTGACGTTTTATTGTGAGTTGTGACCATTCATTTGAGAGAGCCACACAGAAGCTATTAAGCTACAAGCTAGATACTTGGTTAAAATTTATAAGAGAGTGTTTTGTCACCTTTAAAATTGACATAATACGAACATAATTAATGTGAATGTATAATCCTACTTGATTGGTCTAGAAAACTTATAATCTAAAAAACAAAAAAAAAAAAAAAAAAAAAAAAAACCAAAAAACCGTTAAAGAAGGAGAGATGTTCGATGACACCAAAAAAAAAAAAAAAAATTTAAAAAAATAGTGGGTGGTGTAGGATTACTTCCAAGTTGGAACAGCCTGTTTTAAGGGAAGAATTTGAAGATGAAAATGTAGTGGGGTCACTGCATGGCCATGGATATAGTAAGACTTGCTCAATTCTTCAAGTAGCCGTTGCACCGCCCTCCTCTCTCTCTCTCTCTCTCTAGTAAATAATTTGTTAAGAAAAATCCCACCCGCTCCCCGCAACCCCATTATGAAAATAAAAAAGTTTTACATGTCATATTACCCTTTTGGTTGAAATATTTTTGTCCAATCATTATTTTATACTAATATCCCACTCGTCACATTTTATATCAAGTTAGTTAACAAAATTTGACTGAACTATTTATAACTCATTTTTTTTTTTTTAGAACATAACTCTTTTTTTTTTTATATAGAATATTTAGTTTAATATGAGCATATATATATATATATATATATATATATTTTTAATACTACTAGCTCTATTAGAATGTAGTATCTGTTCATTTAATATGAGCATATATAATTTAGGGAAAATAGTACTTTTTCTCTCTGAGTTATATACCTATAGCATTTTTTTCTCCTAAATTATTGAAGTGGCTGTTTTTTCCCCTGAAATGTTAAATGGACATATTTACCCTTAAGTTAAATACTTAATTTATTTTTTTTTCAACAAATTATGACCATAATTTGGTTCAAACTAAACAAACACTATAGTAACCAAACCGAAATATTCTAATTACAATTTAGAATCGAAATTCGATATTTAGAGTTTATTAAAATCGTGAACCGGAACGGACGGTTCATGTTCCGAACTGAAAAAATAAAATACATTTATTGTTGAATTTAGACTATTTTAAAATAAAAAATAAAATTTTAAAATAAAGACGGTTCAAAATCGCGAATTAGATCCGGAACCGCCGGTTCACGGTTCAAGATTCAATTTTTTTGATACATAATTTTAATAAATTGACATTTAAATATTGGGTTCTAGATCTGAATTATAACCGTAAAACTATTAATTGGATTGCTTTAGTATCCGGTTCAATTCAAACCAAACCGTGGTCATCCCTACGTATACGCAATAATTTGTTGGATTAATAAAATAAATAAAATGTTTACTTTAAGGGTATAAATGTCAATTTAGGGGCTGTTTGGTTCACGGAATGTTAGATTACCTTAGGGAATGTTAGATTGCTGGGAATGTTAGATTACTGGGAATGTTAGATTCCCGTGTTTGGTTAAAATTGGGTATGTAATATAATCATGTTTGGTTTAGGGTTATCTTTTATACACACACTATAATATCCTTAATATATTTTCATATATTTTAATAAATTTAAAAATTAAAATAAATAAATAAGATAATGGTATCATATATAATTACATGATTTTAAAATATTAACTAAAATCTTGAACTTAAGAAAAAAAATTATTTTATATGCTAACATAACATAATAAAAATAAAAAATAATTATATATATATATATATAACTAACATAACCAAGGTTATCTTACATAACCTAAAAAATTGAGGGGGCGTTTGGTTCAGGTTATATAACATAACCAAGGGAATGTGACATTCCAAAGCTCACATTCCGGTGTTTGGTTCATATTATCTTAGGGAATCTAACATTCCCAAGGAATGTCACATTCCCTCCACATAGGATTTTGAAGGGAATGTGATTCCCTTCAAAATCTTAGGTAATGTAAGATAACCTTGGTTATCTTAAGGATATTATAGTGTGTATAAAAGATAACCCTAAACCAAACATGATTATATTACATACCCCAATTTTAACCAAACACAGGAATCTAACATTCCCAGTAATCTAACATTCCCAGCAATCTAACATTCCTAAGGTAATCTGACATTCCGTGAACCAAACGACCCCTAGGTAATCACATTCCCTTCAAAATCCTATGTGGAGGGAATGTGACATTCCTTGGGAATCTTATATTCCTTAAGATAATATGAACCAAACATGGGAATGTGAGTTCTGGAATGTCACATTCCCTTGGTTATGTTATATAACCTGAACCAAACGCCCCCTTAATATATTAAGGGGAAAAGGCACCACTTTTAGAATAATTGAGGGGGCTAATGTGCTTACCTAAATAATTGAGGGGGAAAAAGTGCTATAAGAATATAACTCAGGAGTAAAAAGTGCCATTTTCCCCATAATTTATGAGTCATGTCTTTTTTTTTTTTTTTTTTTTAGAGTAAATTTATGAGTAATGTTATGCATTATTTTTTAAAATTTTAATTCTTGATGTGGCATTATTTAATTCAATTAATTACAAGTAGGTTGAATTAACCAAACTCATGGATATTCAATGTATGTAAGCTACATTAGGAAGGAAAAAATTATGAAGGAAGTATATTTCAAAATTTGTATACTTGAGAACAATATTATTATTATTATTATTATTATTATTATTATTATTATTATTATTATTATTATTATTATTATTATTATTATTATTATTATTATTATTATTATTATTATTATTATTATTATTATTTTGTACGGAGTATTAGATTATTATACAAATTTTTACAACTCGTAATAGGATTTACTAATTTTAGATGGAGTAAACATTAAATGAAGTAGGACAAAGTAATTGTAATGTCCCAGGAAGGGTAAGGAGTGAATATTATAATATTAATTTAAGAAAAAGGTTCCATATATACTATTACAAATTTATAATTACTATTCTTTATTAGTCGCTCTCAAATTAAAAAAAAAAAATTATTTTATTTTATAATCTATTAGTTAATTGACTGATTACACCTTAAATTAATAAGAAATTGATATATCTAATAAAATAATGACACTCTCACATTAATATATAGAGTAATAATTGTAGAGGTTCTAATTTTTTTTTTTAACCAACCAATTATAGGTTTCATTATAACCTCAATGGAGGCGTATAATTATAAGAAATGGGATACCCTACATATACACACTACTTGCTTCAATTAAGGTTCGAACCTATCACTTCTTGCTTAGGAGAGCAATCTAATACTAGTGGACTACAAGCCACTTGGTAGTTGAGAAAGTATATGAACAGATACTATATTGTAATATAGCCAGTAGCATTAAAAAACAATAGTCTCAGGTGGAACAACATCTCAGAACTGGCAATCTACTTGAGTTGTCCCTCGAACATAAGAAAATGATATTCAACTAAACGAGGAACATAAAAGATTACACTGATATACCAAGATTCGAGAGTAAGACCGGGTAACCTACTCACCCCGTAAGACATGACACAAATTGACATAGTCACACAAATTTTTCTCCCAAAATGTTTGAATTCCCAACCCCAAAGGCCCCCTCACACTCCGGCCCGACAGAGCATTTTGGAGGATGTAAATCAGGATGACTCAATGGTTTAGTAGACAAGGTCAAATACCTGTGAGCACAAGAAATCTATCCACTTTGAACATAATTCCCACACTGCCGCCGCCTAGGTTCGAACTTTGGAGTTTGGACATAATTCTAGTATGGTGTTTTATTTTAGGGAAAATGGCACTTTTTCCCCCTAAGTTATATACTTATAGCACTTTTTCCCCCTGAATTATTTAAGTGGCTCTTTTTCCCCTTGAAATGTTAAATGGACATATTTGCCCTTAAAATAAATATTTCATTTATTTTTATTCTCCAACAAATTATTACTATAATTTGGTTCAAAACCCTAAACCCTAAACCAAAATATTCCAATTACAATTTATAATCAAAACGCGATATTTAGAGTTTATTAAAATCACGAACCGGAATGGCCGGTTCATGTTCCGAACTGAAAAAATAAAATACATTTATTGTTGAATTTAAACTATTTTAAAATAGAAAATAAAATTTTAAAATAAAGACGGTTTAAAATCGCGAACTGGATCTGGAACCGCCGGTTCACGGTTCATGATCCAATTTTTTTTATTCTTAAATTTAATAAATTGAAATTCAAATATTGGGTTCTAAATCTGAATCATAACTGGAAACTTTTAATTCGATTGCTATAGTGTCTGGTTCAGTTCGAACCGAACCGTGGTAATCGCTGTACATATACGCAATAATTTGTTGGAGAAGTAAAATAAATAAAATGTTTACTTTAAGGGTAGAACTGTTAATTTAATATATTAGGGGGGAAAACCACCACTTTTAAAATAATTGAGGGGACTAATGTGCTTACATAAATAATTGAGGGGGGAAAAGTGCTATAAGTATATAACTTAGGGGAAAAATGTGCCATTTTTCCTTTATTTTAATAGAAAAATAAATTTTGTTTTGGAGTGTGACTATATGCGCGCATCTACATAACGTCTCAATTTTCCCCTTTCTATTAAAGCATATAAATAAGTGCTTCAAATTTTCATCCAGATTATCACTATTCCTCTCTCTCTCTCTCTCTCTCTCTCTCTCTCTCTCTCTGCTACACAGAATCAAGAAGAAGAAGACGAGATGCCGCTGCATTCGAGGAATAATGGTGGGCTATCAACGCCATTGTTGTCTTCCTCAACACCGAGCAGCAGCAACAGCAGCGATACAGATGAAAGCCCAGCACCATTATCAAGAAGATACAACAATGACTTCCCAGATCTCCATTTCACCATTCCAAAACCACCCATCTCCTCCTCTTTCCAGTCCTACAAGTCCTTGGCGGTGCTCTCCGGCCACATCGGCTCCGTCTCCTCCCTGGCATTATGCGGGGAGTTCATCCTCAGCGCCTCACAAGGCCGAGACATCATCGTATGGCAGCACCCAGATCTCCGCCAATTCACCAAATTCGGCCAGGGCTCCGGCTCCGTGAAGGCCCTTTTAGCCGTGGGAAACCGAGTCTTCACAGCCCATCAAGACACCAGAATCAGAGCCTGGAAGGTCTCCAGAAGCTCCGAGAATGTCTTCCGGATCATCAACACACTCCCCACCACCAAAGACTGTCTGGGCAAGCTCATGCGGCAGAGCAATTACGTCCAAACTCGAAGGAACCACAAGAAACTCTGGATCCAACACGCCGACAGCATCTCCTGTTTAGCATTCCACAATGGGTACATATACTCAGGTTCCTGGGACAAGACATTGAAGGTGTGGAGGCTTTCAGATTTCAAGTGTGTGGAGTCTATCAAAGCTCACGACGATGCGATAAACGCTTTAATCTCGAGCAACGGGGCTGTGTATTCGGCTTCAGCAGATGGGAGAATCAAGGCCTGGAGGAGAACAGAAGGGAATTCCATTTCCACACATTCCCTGGTGGAAATCTTGGAGGGGCATAAAGATGTTTCTTTCAACACTGTGGTGGCTTGTGAGGATGGGAGGTTTTTGTATGGTGGAGGGTCGGATGGGTATGTGATGGGGTGGGGGTGGGGGGGGAGAAAGGTGTGTGAGGTGAAAGCACATGAAATGGCTGTTTTGTGCATGTGTATAATGGGGGATTTTGTGTGCAGTGGTTCAGGTGATAAGAGTATAGGGATATGGAGGAGGGAGATGAATGGTGGGATATTTAGAGTTGGGGTTATAAAAGGGCATGAAGGGCCAATTAGGTGTCTTCAGGCATCACCCCTTAGTGTGGGGGGTGGGTTCATGCTCTACAGTGGAAGCCTTGATAGAAGCCTTAGGGTTTGGTGGGTTCCCAAGTACTGTGACACTGCCAAATCTGAGGAAAAATCTGTGTTTTTGAGGTTGCCTTCTGCGTAAGAGTTCTACTACATGGACTTTCAAATGTTACTCTTTAAATTGCGGGTACTGATAAAGCTACTTTTTGCATGTGGGTCCTAATATAAGTGTTTACATCACGATTTTGTGTGTGGGAGTAAAAATTGGAAGTATAGAACAGAACAGAAATGTTTAACCTGGTTGCTGCATAGTTATGTTTCTTGAAGAAGCACTGGTCTGGTTTTTTTATGCAGTGCTTTTGGAATCTTGAGAGTTTTGGGGTGGATTGGAGAATGGAGGTTTGTGTTTTCTGCAGTTTGTTTTTGGAGGATTTAATTCTGTGAATGTGGAGTATGGGGAGTTATAGGACATGATCAAGAATGTGTTGTTTCATTTTTTTTATTAGTCACAAATAGTTCATTTATTTTTAATTGTAATTATGCCTACACAGTGATTGGAATCAACGAATAATACTATAGTTTTTATTCTTTGGAATAAAGGTCGGATAAATCATCCAATCAATGAATTGTTTTTAGTTCGATCGACTCAATTGCAGTTTGTTGTGTAGTATAACATATTAGCAGTCATAATAAGCCTCTTATGTTCAATTTTTCACATTGATTCATAGTTAATTCACTCTCATGAAATGCAATTTACATCATACATTCATAGCTGATGATAACCTGGTGGAAGATGAATAAATCCATGGTCAAACCATTCACCAAATTCATCACTGTTCTATCACCCCACCTACACCAACCAAAATCAGAGTCTTTACACACAACACACATATATACGGATATAGATACATACGCAGCAAGAGAAACAACAGAGCAAATAAGAAATGAAAAATTACCCATTGCTGGAACCATAAGATAAACTTCATGACCTCCGTAACGCCATGCAAATACTGTCTTCACCATTTCTGTTCAAGATTCTAACTTTAAGCTCGCATATATGCAGGCAGTGCTAAATATAAGATTTGCATATAATTAAGCTCAGTAACAAAAAGACTTTTAAGGATAATTTCATAAACCACTAACGCTGCAAACCCAGTTTTTGATAATTGGGAAGCACAAGACATTAAAACCGGTTGAATTTGGTACCTTCAGTTTTTTGAGTTTGTGTTGATCAATATGATTGTTCCTTTGCATTACTGAACCGTGACCTCTGATCATGCAGCTACTCGACTAAACCCTACTTGCTTCTTTCCAATAGGAAAGTATTTCCATTCTTCTATTGGTTTGCCTTCAATCTTCTCAAGCATGCTTGCATGATCTTCCATCCTTCCCGCAATGGCATAGGCACTAGTGAGGGTGAGTGAATCAGCTGGATGTTCATCAAATCTTTGCTCCAATTCTCTCTTAACCTGTTCCCCTAAACTAACGTCGCCATATACTCTGCAAGCTGCCAGTAACGCACGCCATGCAGTAGCATCCTCCTCAACGGGCAAGCTCTTGATTAGTTTCCGGGCTTCTTCTAACAACCCAGCACGGCCCAAGAGATCAATCACACATCCATAGTGCTCAACCTTTGGGGACAAGGAATATCGCTCCACCATTCTCCTAAACCACCTCTTCCCATCAAGAATCAATCCATTGTGGCTACAGGCATTCAACACTGCCAAGAATGTGACTTCATTAGGCCTGAACCCTTCTTCCTCCATTCTGTGAAAAAGTAAAATCGCGTTTTCTGCCTGGCCATGTACTCCATAGGCAGAAATCATAGCGGTCCAACACATAAGATCTTTCCTGCCTACATTATCAAAAACTTCTATAGCCTCTTTGAGTAAACCACACTTTGTATACATGTTTATAAGAGCAGTCCCCGAAATTGCATCTATTACTAACTGGTGCTCTTTTATGTAGTCATGGACGCATCGGCCAACACTAAGGCCACCAGAGGCTGCAGAAACTGAAAGCAAACCTACAAAGGTAGATGAATTTGGCTTCACTCCTTGAACCTTCATTAAACTCAACAACTTGAATGCTTCTTCTGGCATTCCACTTTTAGCGTATCTATCTATCAAACAATTCCACAAGACGACATCTTTTGCATCGGCTTCGTCAAAGACTTTGCGCCCTGAACCAATGCCACTTGTTTTTCCATACATCGAAATCAAAGCACTGGTCACATTCAAATTCATAGAAAGACCAATCTTGATGCAATACCCATGTATACATTCTCCTCCTAAAACATGACCCTTTAACTCACCAACAACAGACAAAATACCCAAAATTGTAGTAACACTAACACCTATACCATCTCTATGTATCTGTTTAAACAAATCTACAACTATGCTATACTTGTGTACACAAAGATACCCACCCATCAAAGTGTTCCACGACACCAAGTCTCTCTCCACAGAAAATTCATCAAACAGTTTGTGTGCATCACTGACCCACCCACAAGCACAATAGAAATGCAAGAGACTATTCATCACATTGAGAAATAAGACAAACCCATTTCTCAAGAGAACCGAATGAACACCTAAACCAGCCCATATTTCAGAAGCACGGGCACAAGATTTGAGGGCAGAGACAAAGGTGAACTGATCAAGCATTAAACTCTGTGCCCTCATATGATTGAGGAGAATAAGGGCCTCTCTTGGTTGATCACTGATTGAATAGCTTCTAAGCAAGGTGTTGAACATGTAAAGGTTCGGGCTTTTAATGTATTTGAGAATCTTGGCTGCATAACTGGTGTGGTGGATCGAATTGGCAAGAAGTTTGCTGAGAGTGAAGGGGACCAGGTCGAGGCCAGTCTTGATCATTAATCCGTGGATTTGACTTATTTCTAAAGTTCCTTTGCATGATTGCAGCAGAAAAACAAGATTTTGATTTAAAGAAAGTGTAGATTGATGGCGTACTCGGAAGAACTTTGGCAAGAAAAGTTGACATTTTTGCCGTAGGAGAGGAGGTATAACGGTGGTGTTCATAAGCTCAAAGCAATTTTAGGCTCTTCAAAATTTTACAATTATTCTTAACATATACTAGTACTTCACCCGTGCGATGCACGGACATAAATTTGAAAAAATTGCATTTATGTTAATAAATTGAAAGTAATTTTATTTGTTATTATAGATTTATAGTGGCAATATAAATAATTTTCGAAATTGGCCGCGTTTCTAAATTTTAAAAAACGGTTACATATATACAAAACAATAATAACATTATGATATGACATTGAATATCGGTAAAAAATTACAAATTATTGAAAATTTCTTTGTACACTACATTTTCTGCAGTGTTCAAACCCACAGTAGAGTCTCCACATATTAAGATTTTTAGCCCATCTGGATTCAATGTCCATGGGCTGCTACATACAACTGTCCATGGTTAAACACGGGTTTCTTTAATAGTAGTCCCACATGAGATAAAGTTTGTCCTTGACTCTTGTTTATTGTCATAGCATATGACAACATTATTGAAAATTGCTTCCTCTGAAATTTAAACGGTAGTCTTGGGTCAGAAGGAGTCAATCCCAATCGTGGTATTAGTACCCTGGTGCCTACATTGTTTCCACACAGAATTTGAGCTTCAATCACATGATTTTCTAATCGTGTAATGATCAACCTTGTACCATTGCACAATTCTAAGGAGTGGTCTATATTTCTAAGCAGCGATCCAAATTCTATATTCTATTGAATTTATGTTAAGAAATTGAAAGTAATTATTTTTGTTATTATAGTTGCAACATAAACAATTTTTCGAAATTGGAAGCGTTTCTAATTTTTTTTTAAAAAAAAATTGTTACATATATACAAAACAATAATAACATTATGATATGACATTTAAAATCCCAACAAAATTACAAATTATAGAAAATTTCTTTGTACACTACATTTTCATTTAACTGATTTCATGGACTGCTGAAACTGATTTCATTCCAAAAAGTATTTATTAGTTAGGTACCTAAACTTTTTAATTTTTATTTACTGAATTATAATTTGCTTTTTTTAAAGTATTTATGTCAAATAAGTTTTTTCCTCTTTAAAAAAAAATAATCTGGATACTTTTTTTTGGAAATAAAACAATTACTTAGGTATTTCCTTTCTTTCTAAAAAAAAAAAAAAAAGAATATGGAACCTTTGATTTTAAAATAAACAATTTTGTGTATTTGATTTATTTCCAAGGCCAAAATTGTGTTAGCTGAACACATAGTTATCTCAAATGATTGTTAATACTGTATTGTTGTTGTGAATTTGCAATATTATTGCTAATTTTTCTTCCTTAAAATTATTTTTTCCTATATCTATATATATGTATTTATGTTCTAAACCTATTTTTACCTTTGAAACCTATTTAATTTAGTGCATGTTTAAGATATTTCACATCTACTGTCCAAAATGCATGAGAAGCCAGACACATCTGGATGTAAACATACACTTGAAAGTTAACTCAATTACATTTCATAAATTTGTTTGTAGGCCATTCAAATATTTCATAAAGTATTTCCAAAAATTGTAAGGCTTTATTGTTCATTTTAATATAGTTATTGTTTAAAAATTAAAAGCTTTCATAACCACTCTGAATGTTGTTGAGAAGCCATACTCAACTGGATGAAGACTAAGTCTCCTTTTAAGGTAATTTTTGGCAATAAAATATTTAAATTTTAGCATATAATCATTGAAGTATTTGAAGTTAATTTTGTTTTCTTCTATTTGTTTGTAGGCCATTCAATTTTGGATTAAAAATATATAAACCTTAAAGAGTTATAGGGAGCAAGAATTTTTGCTTCTAATAATAATAGGGAGCGCAAGAATTTTTCAAATTAAAAATGTGCACAATTTTGCTTCTTTGTGCTAAATTCATCTTTGTTGAACTAAAAAGAAATTTTGTTTACAAAGTTATAATCTAATATTTAATAATAATATAATACTAATATAAGGGAAATTGTATTTTCATCCCTAAATGTTGGTTATGCTCACTTTTCATTCATGAGTTTTCATTGTAATTACACTTTTCTGACCTTGTTAATAATAATAAGAAAAAAATGTCAAATAGGCCACTGAACTTTTACACATTGTGCAATTGAACCATCAAACAAAAAAAGTGTGCAATTATACTATTAAACATTCAAAAATTGTGCAAATATCATTATTTACAGGTTACTTTCAAGTTTTCTATAAATATGATATGATGTCATAATGTCACATTATATATAAAAAATTATTTTAATTATTATTTTTCGAAATTAAAAAAAAAAAAAAAAAACTGGAAATAACCTGTTGATATGCATTCCCATTTTTCATAGAAATTTTGCAGTTACTTGACCTCTGGGCTGATCAGTTTAATAAACAATGAGTTTGACATGTCTGATCAGCCCAACATAAATCTGAGCCCAAGTATAAACTGCCATCCAACTCGTTTAAGAAAACATTTCACCATTCTTCACCATTTCGGCCTTCAATTTCATCCCCTCAGCTCTCATGTCTTCAAACACAACCTCACTCTACCGATTTAGAAATTTCATATGCTCTACCGTTCCACAGATTTTATGAAGCATGGACCAATCTTTTGAGTGTTGATTCCTCATGGTCAGCGTTGGAAGACCAAAGAAGAACAAATCACCTACACACCGCCACATCAGCTTAAGGACCAGATGAAAAAACTCCGGCAACCATGGCGATACAGAGAGCTTTCACACAGTAAGTATTGATTATTTTATAGTGCTAAAAAACCAATTAAATTTTTCGGTTTCAGGCTAAAAAACTTTTCGGTTTATTATCAAAATAAACTTTTCGGTTTCAGGCTTTCATCCACCATTGCCACCACCAACCTGTCGACGTCGTTGCGTCGATGCCTTCTTCCAAAAGAACTCATAATTATAGTATAATTCGCATTTGAAAATATTCATAAAACCCACATCCGAGTCTCGAAATTGGAATGACAGGCACTGGGAATTTCGATTCCTAATTATACACAAGGCAAACACAAGAGTAACTAAGTGGAATCAAAATATCTCGCACAAGAAAGGGTACTGACAAAATATCATCACAAACTATTCTCAAATTGCTTAGCATAGAGCATAATAGCTGATCTATTGAGTAATCACGGGTATTCATGAACACATTTGGGAAAAATCCAATAATTAAAAGTCTGGATGAAAAAACCTTGAGCTGGTGAAGGAAGATGACAGAGGAAGAATGAGCTTGGAAGGAGTAGTTGAACTTGAGGCCTCGATCCAGTAGAGAAACGGTGCCGTCATCGCAGCCCAAGACGTTCCTACCTCTGCCGCCAGTGCAGCATTCGATCTTCCGATTGTCTCTTCTTCCGAGCACTGCAATTTCCCCGAGTACTTCTCCTAAAAAAACTTGAATGTCCTCCACTGATGCATCTCCCCGGTTACTTCCTATTTTCTAAAATTCTATCCTATGATGAGCCAATCTCGTAAAGCAGTAACGGGCTGCCTTCTTCCCGGTGTGGGGTGAGCCGGTGAGAGCAAGCGGTGGGCGGTGGCCATAAGCGAGGATGACAAACAACCAATAAAATTTAAAAGATTTTTTTAAAATTTTTATTTATTTATTTATTTATGATTGTTATTATTAATTAAAAATTAAATTTAATATAATATATTATTTTTAAAAATATGTGGAAGCCACGTCAGCTCTCCAAATCAGCTTGAAGAATCCAATCATCAAGTAGTTGACCGGTAACTTGAAGGCAACCTGCAAAATAGTGTCAATTGCACTTTTTTGTAAGTTTGAGATTCTGATTGGAGCTTTTTGAAGTTGAAGGGTTTAATTGCACAAATCAATATACTTTGAGGGCTTATTTGACCCTTATCCCTTAAAACTTCTATTGCTGAGCATAGATAGCAAAATCCACACACTCTGATGTTTTTATCCTCTATTGCTGCTTGGATTTAAATGTTTTACAGTTCTAAAAAACAAATTTGGCTGCATCACAACTTCAATGTGTTTTGCTCATATTGTATGCTGTACAAATTTTGATTCATACAATTGAGTTCGAAGAAATTCAATTTGTACATGTGAAAGACCCCATTTTCTACCACTTTATAGCACTATTCTCATCGACTATGTTTTCAAGTTTGAAGGTTTTCTTTTGAATGTACTGCAAAGATAGTCACATGGAAAGCAGAGCTCATAATCATTAAAAAAAAGATGGCTTTCTGGTATGAATGTACTTCTCTACTGCAGAAGATAGTCACACTGTGAAAGATGGCTTTCAGGTATGAATCCAAGCCCATGGAATCCAATTACCTCTCAATTAGATTTTTTCCATCTCTATGGAATCCAGTTTAACCTTCTTAACATTAACACCTTCACTGTTGACTTCATCCCTGCCAATTGAATATTTAAAAAAGTATATATATATATATATATATATATATATATATATATATATATATATATATATATATATATATATATATATATATAGGCACATACATACATCAAGGTCTCTGGTAAGTAAAGTAACACTACATAAGTCCATATTATTTTTATTCATAAAACATAGACAAAAAGACCTGGGAAAACTGGCGTTAGTATGATAAAAAAAAAAAAAAACAAACAAACAAAATTGGAATTTGTTTTTTACCTCATCGTGAAATAAACATTCTTTACTTTTGATGATTTCACCTTGTGAAATAAACATTATTTACTTTTGATGATTTCACCTTCTCTAACATCTGGTATCTAACTCTTATTGCTCGCATGTGCAGGGCTGATATCTTTCACATATACATATTGGGAAGACTTTTTTTTTGGCAGAGTAATACGTATTATGCGAAAGTATTTCAGGGTTGCAATTGTTCATCTGAGTCGACTTCTTTATATAGAAGAAGACTTAAATAAGGACTCGAGAAACGAAGAGTCCTCTTTGGAACAATACATCATAATGATTATGTATTTATGTTATTTCAAATGTTATTTCAAAATTTTTGTATTCACATTACTCAGATGAAATTTGTAATTTACAGCCTATTTTTCGATTTC